GGCTCTGTCGGGCTCCCTGGCACCCTCGGTTTACAGAGGGGCAACGGGCCACAGGGCCAAGGAACCGGACAGGCACAGCCGGATCCAAACGTGGAGTTCTTGGTCTCCGGGGGCTGTCGCTGGGGTGCTCATGGCCGTGAGCTACTAACTGAGTGTGTGGGGTCTGGACAGGGACTCGGCCTGTCCCCCTCCAGCAGGGGTGCTGGACAGCTGGCTACACTGCCCTGGACCCCAGAGCAGCCCGAGGCGGGTTCTCTGGGGCGGTTCAGCCTTTCCAGCCCAGCAGCTGCTTCCGCCCGTGGCTGACCCTCCGGCGCCGGGTGGAGCCATGTGGGGTGTGGGCGGGTGGAGGCCCTGCTCCGAGAGGTGGGGTGGGGGTGGGGGAGCACGGAGCACCCGGTGGAGGGGCGGGAGAGGGCGAGGAGACCCTGGGGAGCAGCCAGAGTGTCTCCAGGCTCGGCCCTTTTCAGAGGCCTAAAGATCAGGCATGTGGAGCCCGGCGGCACCCTGACCTTTCCAGGGCGTAGGCGGAGCGTCAAGGAACCCACTGGGCACAAGTGCCCGTGTCCTTGGTGCCAGGGGACTGGGACTTCTGCCTGCTGCGTGTGGGGGCGTCGGGGCTGCCCTCAGACAGGGCGGGCTGCGGTTTGGCTGCGTTTCCTTTCTCACCGGAGGGCTTGGGGGCGTGCACCCATGTGTGCCCATGCGCACCCCGGTCCCCACCTGGCCGCCTCCCCAGCCCCAGCATGGGCATCTGTGGTTGTGAGCGTGGCGAGAAGTCTGTTCTCTGTAGCGCGGGCAGGGTCTCCGCCGGCCTGGACCTGGGAATTCGCTGCAGGGCCGGCAGCTTCCCGGGCCCCACCCACTGGACGCCAGCGGCACCCATTGTGACAGCCAGTCGTGTCCCGGAGGTGGCCACGCCCCCGGGGGCAGAGTCACCCTGGCTGAGACCCGCTGTCCTCGCGGAGGGTCTCAGTTCTGACGGCGCGCCCCGAGGTCCTCTTCCGGTGCCCAGCCAGGGGATGCTCTGGGACTGTCCCCGGGCACGGCGGAGGGGCAGTGTGGGCGAGGCCGGCCTGGTCGCTGCGGCTTCCTCTCGCCCGCAGCTGGCCGTGCTGGGCCTCTGCCGCAGGACCTGCCTCCCTCCCTGTCACTGGGGTCGGAGGCCAGGTGCGCGCACCTGTCTGGGTCCAGTCTCTGGACCCAGCTCTGGGCGGAGGCACCGGCAGTGCCAGGTCTTGGACGGGCCCTCGGTACCTGGCCGCTCTCCATCCGGGTGGACCCCGAGGTGGATCCGGGTTCACAGGTGCCAGCCCGAACCAGTCCTTGTGGGCACAGGTGCTGGGTGGGGGCGGACGGGGGCAGCTCTGCTTTACCGTGGCCCGGCTGTGGTACTGCACACGTCACTCGGGCCTCCCTGAGCCTCAGCTTCCACCTCTCGGAAGTGGGGTAACAGCAGCACTTTTTCATGGCTGTGAAAAGCTTTGTAATCTTGGGGTTTCACATTCTGAGTGGCGGGTAGAGCACCTGAGGAAAACAGGCACATAGGTGTGGACAGTGTCCCCGAGAGGCAGGAAGCAGGGTCCCCTTCCTCCCCAGCTTAAGCATCGTTCCCCCTTCTCATGTGTGACTCCCCCAGCAGGGCAGCCCTGGGGGGCCAGGGCACAGCCCGTCCTGACAGCGTCCAGGAGCCTGGCGTTTGGAAGCCCAGGTGCGTCTGCTGCGTGGACAGGGGAGGCCTTGGTCTGGGCTGCAATTCCCGAGCCTGAGTGTGTGTGGAATCTCGGGGGGCTGTCAGCTGCAGGGTCCCGGCTCCATCCAATGTGTCTATGGGGGCCCACACTTTTAGCAAATGTGGGGGGGCGTCTGAGGTAGGGCCACCCCTGCCCGTGATTGGAGCTGTTCTGGGCTCAAAGCTTCCACGACCTCAAGCTAAGGAATGTTCCGAGGTTCCGGAAGCCAAACGATGGCCCCGGCGGCGGCATGGCGGGCACTGCCCCGTGGCATGCAGCGTCCAGTTTCTGCCCCTTCCCCAGGCCACCTCTGTTCGGAGGGGTGTGCCTGAGGGCTGTGCTGCTGGGTGTCGGGGCAGAGCCCACCCTCCAGTGGCTCACGTGAGATCCAGGGGTGGGGAGACAGGCCGTGCAGCTCCAGCTCTGTGCAGTCACCCCCTCCGAGAAGCCCCCCTGAGCACCCCGGGAGTCCCAGGACGGGTTCCCGGGTGGACGTGTGTGTGTGTGACCTCTGTCCCTCCTGGAATCCAAGCCCCAGGAGGCTGGGGTCGCACAGCCTGCTCGTTGCCCCGTCCTGGTCTAGGGTGTACCCTCGACGGGTGCAGGCTGGCTCCCAGCTCGGAGGACTGGGTGGGATTTGAACCTAGGCCCGGCTCCATTCAAGGCTCTTGTTCCCACGAGGGAGGGGGGACAGAAGACATTTCTAAAGGGATCGGGGGAAGCAGGCATCGTGGCCCCCAGCCAGGGCCTCCTGACAAACTGCAGAGATCAGCCATGTGGGTGCAGGAAGGAGCTGCTGCATCTGCTGTGGGTGTGTTGCCATGGCACCCGCTGGGGTGCTCTGCCTAGGGGGCCCAGCGGTCAGAGGAGCTGGGGGCACCTCAGGCATGGAGCCAGGTGTGCCCCAGACTCACCTCTCGGGAGTTGGCTGCTTGGGCCGTAGGGTCCCAGGGGCGTTGTCCACCTCAGCTCTGCCCACGCCAGGTCCAGCCAGCACCCACTTCCACTAGTGGTTCGTTCCTGCTCAGGGTGCCCTCGCATATGTGCTCTTATTGCGGTGACCTTCTTCTGGCTCTGGGTCTGTCCTTTGGAGGCGTGTGGCCATCGCCACTGTGTGACTCAGCACTTGCCCTCAGAGGAGACCCCAGGCCCTCCCCTCCCCCTTCCCGGAGTCCCTGCCATCTGACCACTGTGTCCCTCTGGGCTCGCCTGTTGTGGACGGTCACAGCGATAGTCACACAGTGTATGGCCTTTTCTGTTGAGCTGACGTCTCTGAGCATAAGGTCCGCAGGGTCCATCCAGCACGGTAGCCGTGTCAGGACGTGTTCCTTCTGCGTGGCTGATGTGGCCTGGATTCCCACCACCTGTGTATCCTCTGCCCACGCATCAGCGGGCGGGCCCCTGGGCAGTGTCGGGGCTGTTGTGACCCGTGCTCTTTACTCCTAACGGCGCACGCGGGTCCGTTCTGCCGAGGGCGGTCAAGCCCCGGGACTCGCGAGCCCCTCGCCTGTGCGTGGGACGTGGTAAACACCCTGGAGTGCGTGAGCCCGCACCCGTGGGAACGGAAGCCTCCCGCTTCAGCCTCGCCGCGGGTTTCGTGGGGTCTCCACCGATTCCGTGGGTGCTGCTGATATCTAAGCGCCTCTGTCTTTACTCTGGAGCGAGGGCTTCTCCTGGGTGCCGAGTCGGGGGCCTGCTTGCTGCCCTGTTCCCGCCCCTGCAGGGGAATGGAGCACCCTGGGGACATTTCCCTCTTCTCTCTGGAGCGGGGGCAGGGCAGGGATCCTGAGCCCATCTCCCAGGTGCAGAAGGAAATTGGGGTCTCACTGCCCTGGTGGCCCCATTTTTTGTACCTCGTGCTGGTAGGAGGAGGAGATGCCTACAACCATGTCAACCCCATGGGTTCCCTCCGCCCAGTGGGCCACGAGGCTCCGAGAGGCTCCGAGAGGCTCAGCCACCTACCCGGGGCAGCCCAGCGGCTGTTTGGCAGAGTGGGCACATGCTGACACTTTCCCGTCTGTAGCACACAGGAGTCGGTCTGTACCTGGGGGGCCAGGTGAGCATTGGCTGGGCCCTGGTGACAGTTTGCACATTAGCCTGCAGGTGGGACCAGCCTGGGGGTTAAGAGGTCTCAGCCCCTCTTTCCATTGCCCTCGGGCCTCGGGCAGCTACTGAGCTCATTTCTCTGTTGTAAAGCAAGGGGGTCATGTGAGGGGTGATGGGCAGGCCGGCCTGAGGGCGAGATCTAGTCACCGGCCCTGTTCTCAGCAGCACTCACTGCTGGTGGCTCCCTCCTGAACCCTCCCCCTGGCCCGATGGCCTCCCCAGTCATGTTGCATGTGTTTCCATCGGGTGCATGTCATCCCCTCACGTACGTGTCCCTTCCATCGGGTGCATGTCATCCCCTCGCGTACGTGTCCCTTCCATCGTGTGCGTGGGCATCCCCTCCCTACGTGTCCCTTCCATTGCATGCATGTCCATTCCATCGCGTGCATGTGCGTGTGCGTTCCATCGCGTGCATGTGCATCCCCTCGCGTACGTGTGCCTTCCATTGCGTGCATCCCCTCGTGTACGTGTCCGTTCCATCACATGTGCGTGCATCCCCTCGCGTACGTGTCCGTTCCATCGCGTGTGCGTGCATCTCCTCGCGTACGTGTCCGTTCCATCGCGTGTGCGTGCATTCCCTTGCGTACGTGTCCGTCCCATCGCGTGCGTGTGCATCCCCTCGCGTACTTGTCCCTTCCATCGCGTGTGTGTGCATCCCCTCGCGTACGTGTCCGTCCCATTGCGTGCGTGTGCGCCTCCTCAGTGCGCACTGAGCTCTGGGGGCCAGGACCGCTGCCAGGAAAGGTGCGCATGTCCTTGGGGAGCCGGCGCTTTGGGCGGAGGCAGATGTGCTGAACCAGCAGGCTGTGCAGGGTGTCCTGGGTGAAGGCAGGTGCTGGGTGATGAGCAGGGCGGTCGGCATGGGGCCAGGCGGCGGCCTGGGCGGTCGCATGGGGACTCGAGCTCGGAAGGCCGCTGGCTTTGGTGCCTGCCGTCACTCGAGATTCTGATTCGTTTCCAGACGTGGCCCCCTGATCGTGTCGGTGGTCTGGGAAGGGCCCACTGGGGAGGGGAGGGTGGCAGGCACAGCCGAGGCACAGACCTACCTGCACAGTTGACGTGTTCCGGCCACAACGGGGACATAGCAGCACCCAGCACTCTGGGCCCCACCCGGAGCCAGCCTGTCGCCTGACCCTCAACCCCCTCTCTTTGACCCCACAGGCTGACCCCCCACTACATCTACCCGCAAGCCATCGTCCAGCCCAGCGTGGTCATCCCGGCTGCCCCTGTCCCGTCACTGTCCTCACCCTTCATTGAGTACACGCCGGCCAGCCCGGCCTACACCCAGTACCCGCCGGCCACCTACGACCAGTACCCGTATGCCGCCTCGCCCGCCTCGGTCACCAGCTTCGTGGGCTACGGCTACCCAGCGGCAGTGCCCCCGGGCCTCTCGGCCGCAGCCCCCGCGGGCACCACCTTTGTGCAGTACCAGGCTCCGCAGCTGCAGCCCGACAGGATGCAATGAGGCCGCTGCCCGGGGCTCGACCCGTCACCCACACACCCACCAGGCAAGTGGCCGGCCGAGCTCGGGGTGCACACTGGCATCCGTGCCTTGGGGGACCCCACAGAACCCCTGCCTGCACCCCGGATGGCCCGGAGACCACTTCCCTTTAAACCCAGGACCCCCCATATCTCAAGGGAGGACTTTGAGAAAAGAAGGATGATGCTCTAGACGAATAACCGGACCTCCCAGCACACCGCCTGCCTTCTCCCTCCACCCGCCCTGCCCCAGCTCCGGCCAGGCCCCCCGCAGAGCCAGCGGCCCTTTGGCTCTAGAAACTCCTGCTCAGAGATGCCTTACCCAGGGAAACCCACGGAGCGACCAGATGGACTGCCCGCGGCGCCGTCCGCACAAGCTGTGAACGCGGCCGGGTGCGGGGCGCCCTCGGGAGTCCCCCTCCTGGCCAGGGCGCGGGGGCCTTCTGTGAGGCCCCGAGGTCCCGGTGCAGCAGGGCCACCAGCCGCTGCCGCGCCCTCGCCCTCCGAGCGCTGCAGCCTTTTTTCTTACTGTCGTCGTTTTGCTACTAAGATGACCGAGAACTTCAGTTTATTTTTTCAGTGGGGGCTCCTGCCACCAGAATCCAGGCCTGTTTTCGACGTTGAGGCTCTCACTGTTGTCCGTGGCTCTGCCCAAGGAGACAGGACAGTGTTTCTGTTTGAAAAGTGTCGCTCGAGCGCTGGGAGCCCCTCGGAAGGTGGGTGTCTCCAGACAGTGGGTCTCTCTCAGCGGCAGTAAGTTGTCTCAGAAGCTTGTCCCCGCCCGTCACCACCGAGAGGGCAGAGGGAGGGGGCCCTAGGTGATGCTGGCGGTGGGGCCGGGCCACAGCGTCCCCACCCTCTCGGTGTCCCCTGCTGCGCACCAGCCTGGGCCGAGGCCGCCTGACCTGTCCCGCCTGCCTGGGGGCCCCGTGGAGGGGGTCCCAGCACAGAGACGGGCTCCTGGAGAGGCCCCGCTCTGCTTCGGGGGAGCGGGAGGGTGAGGTGGGGCAGCCTGGCTGAGGGACTTGGAGAGTGGGCAGAAGGTTGGGGGGCGCTGGGGGTGTTCCTTCAGACCTACCTCAGGGAAGCGGGAGGCCTTGGGGCGGACTGACGCAGGCACACGCTTGGCGACACGCCTGACGTCGCGGCACGGCCCAGGAGATACAGGTAGCTAATGTTATAATAATATTTTTATTAGAATGTTCTGATGATAAAAATAAAACTTGTTTTCTGTAAAGAAAAAGTTGGTTTGTAATTAATCACTCGACATGGGCACCTTCAATCTCCCCCCCTCCCCCCAGTGACCATGAGCAGGTCAGGGCCACACGGTGTCACTCACGAGGGACCCTTCTGCCCAGGGTTTTAATTGACCACAGTCCACCGAGCGCCTCCCTGTGCCGGCCCGGCCCGCAGGCATCCAGGGTGCTGGGCCAGACACGGCCCGTCACCACCCCTGGCCGCACCCCCAGGTGCTTCCTCACCCCGGCAGTCTGCCCGAACCCCAGGGGAGACCCCCCTGGCTCAGTGTGGCTGCTGTGCTCAGAGCAGGCCCTGGGGGTCGTGGTGGGGGTGGGGACCAGTACTGTGGCTGACAGCTCCAGCAGGGCCCCATGAGGTGGGGGCCGCTCCCCGAGAGAAAGGCAGGTGCTGAGTCAGGGCTGCTGGCAGCCGTGGGCGCGAGGTCAGCTAGGAAAGGAGGTCCTGGTCTGGGGGCCCCAACCTGGGCATGGACAGAGCCAGCTTCTCCCAGAACTCAGCTGGAGCCATCACTCAGCACCAGGGAAATCACTGGGGCCTCGGAGGAGGCGTTAGCTGGAGAGGCTGTCAACTCAATCATTTTTATCACTGACGTGTGCTGCGTCCCATGCAGAGCACCAGAGATAGTCATAAACACCGTCTGGGGGGAGAGACACCAGACTTGCAAATGGAGTAGTTTCAAATACTGATCATGCTGAAGGAAGTATTGCAGGATGCTGGAGAATGGCTGGGCTCTAGGCAGAGGAACAGCGAGTGCAAAGGTCCTGGGGTAGGGTGCATGGACCAAGGAGGCCAGGGTAGCTGGAGAAGGAGCACTGAGGGGAGGAGGTCGGAGATGCGCTTTAGGGAGGTGACGATTGGAGCTGGAGAGACATCCTAGGCCCAGAACAATGTGCAGTGAGCCGGTCTGGGAGGGACTGCGGTACGCAGATGCCCCTGGCAAGCTCTGCAGCAATCGATTCCGTCAGCGGGAAGTCCTCTGAACCTGGGGGTGGGAGGGCCGATGCCACAGGTGGGAGGGGCATCGAGGGCAGCTGGGATGTGCAGGACAAGGGGCTCCCGGTCATCTGCAGGCATTGAGTAGGCATTCCTGCTGAGAAGGTCGGTCTGAGCAAAGGCCCAGAGGTCCTGGGTATGACCTGCTTGGGGCCAGTCATTCTCCAGGCACCAGGATTGTCGTCCTCTGACCCTGCAGATCAGAGCCGGACCCCATCTCCCTCCCTCACCTTCCACACAGTGGCCAAGCCAGAGACTCAAGGTGCTCTGAACTCTTCCGCACCCTCATGTCTCCCCAGCTCAGAGCCCTCTGTGGCTCCCCATCATCTTCATTGGAAAAGTCAAAGCTATCACTGTGGCCGACGAGGCCCTGGCCTTGTTGTCTCCCACCCACACCTGGCACAGCTCACCCCAGGACCTTTGCACTTGCTGTGAAGCCTGTAGCTTGTACAATTGAACTGCTTCAGCTCTCAGCTCAAAAGTTTCTTTGTCCCAGAAGCTTCCTCCAGCCCTGTCCCACCTCACCGGAACACCTCCATGAGAAGGGCCCAGAGTTTCTACCTTGTTCCCCCGCATCCAGTGCTGTGCTGGGCACAGCAGGGAAACTGAGGCCTGCAAACATTGTGAACTTGATTCAGCCGCCGATGGCGAGTGGGCATCAGAGATTTCTAGCAAAGGACACAAGTGGGAGTTTGGGGACCATCCATCAGGTTGGAGTGTGCTGGGCAGATCTGAGCTGGGAGAGGCTGGGGCCCTAGAATGAAAAGGGGGGCAGGGACCAGCGTCAGTGTCCACATGGAACAGGCGGAGCGACTCCCGGAGTGCGGAGCAGCCACGCAGAGCTGGGCGACTGGGTGGGACCCACTGACGGACGACTCCATGACAACTGCACGTGGTCAGCCCTCGGCTTCGAAGTGAGATGCGGTCACCCCGATGCGGAGAGGGGGCTCAGATGGACCTGGGAACCTCCCTGCATCATTCCAGGGGTCTCCAAGGGGCCTTCTTGGGCCTTTTCCGGTTGCTTGCACTTTAAGGTTTGTAAAGCCCCCTTTCAGTGGTCCAGGGCCCCCGGCCTCTGCCCAGGGAAGGGTCCGGGCTCCTGGGGTCAAGTCAGGTGAGATCCTGCCAGACGGGGTTCCCTCTCCTGTCCAGGGACCCTCTCCTGTCCCTCCTCGCCTGCCCCTCCCGCTGGCTGGGTCTTAGTTTGCAAACCCTGGCAAGGGTCAGGGAGGTCCTCTTGGGGCTCCAGGCTCAGAGCACACATTTGCCGCAGCTGATAAGGGTGTGGGGGCGGGGAGGGGGTTGTGGGGTGCTGCCAGGGTTATCTGGGGGGCCACTCTCAGCCAACCCACTTCCTGTTGCTATCTGCCAGTGGCAGCCTCTGGGACATGCCTTGAGGCCTCAAAACACATCTTCCCGGGGCCCGGGATTGAGGGCTCTGGATGGTGGCGAACCCAGGAGCTTCCAAGGTCACCCTGGCCTGTGCACGCGGGGGCAGCCACTAGTCACCACAGTGACCACACGGGCAACGTCTGTGGCACCGACCCAGGCCGGCGCTGTGCCAGCACCTCTCGGGGGTGGTCTTGGTTACCCACAGGGTGAACAGTGTCCCATTGCACAGATGGAGGAACTGAGACCCCAAGGGGTGGAGCCTCCGTTCCTGGGCCCCAGAGGCGGCGGGAGGTGGCGTGCGGGCCCAGAGGAACCCCACCAAGCTCCTGAGGGTGGATGTGAGAAAACCCCCCTGACCCTGTGAAACCACCCCCGGGCTTGCCTGTGGATGGACCTCGTGTTTCCCGTCAAACGAGATGATCACCCCCACACTTGCTGTGGTCGCTCACCCCAGAGCCAAAGCTGTCCTTAGAGTCCCAGAAGTCATGAAAACTGACATTTATTGAATACTTTCTGTGGCTTTGTGTCTATTCTTTTTTTTTTATTATTGATTTTTTTTTGAGAGAGAGGGAGAGAGAGATGGAAACATCGATGAGAGAGAACATCGATTGGCTGCCTCCTGCACGCCCCCCACTGGGGATCAGGCCCACAACCTGGGCATGTGTCCTGACCGGGAATCGAACCGGTGACCTCTTGGTGCAGGGTCGATGCTCAAGCACTGAGCCACACTGGCCAGGCTTGTGTCTGTTCTTTTCCTGAATACTCCCAGCAACTTGTGGGAGGTTTACTGGGCCCAGTTCACAGATGGGAAAACCAAGGCTGGGGAGATTCAGCCCCCTCCCAAGTCCAGAGAGCTGGTGTGTGGCAGAGAGCATCCTGAATCTGGAGGCCACATGCTGCCCTGCGGGAGACTGGGCTCAGGCCTCCCCACCCCCACTCAGGTCTCTACCACCTCCCTCACCCCAAAGCCAGCTTGCCACAGCTGCTGAGTCACGCTTGTGTTTGTCCCCCAGAGACGTAAACGCCAAACCAGGAACCCCCTGGGGTTGGGGACCATGCGGATACAGTGAAAATAGCAAGGCAGCTGCCCAGCATGCCCTGGGGCTGGGTGTCTGCACAGGGCATGCTGTGAGGTGGGCACCTGGCCCTGCAGATACCTCCTGGGCCTCCTGCAGGGGCTGATAAGTGCCTGGCTCTGCTTATCAGCCCCACCCCCCGCCTGCTCTACCCCAAACCTGTGTACACATTGGGGTGTATAACGACTTAGAGATCGAGGGGGCGAACCCCCCAAGACCGGCTCACCAGACAGCCGAGTTGGATGTAGCAGAGACAACTCAGCCAGGGGGGGGCTCCAGCTGGCTCCCCGTCCCTGGTCCCGAGGGCGTTTTTAGAGAAATTAAATATAAAGGCATTATTTTTCTAAATTATAAAATTAACACTCTTGGGGAAATTTTTTCAAAACAGAGGAACTGTATGAAATAATCTCTGTGTGTGTATGGAAACCATTGGGAAGGAGCTAGCCCAGAGAGTGGCAGCAGTTTTACTGTTTCTCTTAACACAGTTCTGGGTTGTTTACAGCCAAGCAACAAGAACTGAAAGACGACGCTTGGTGCGTGTTCGATATCAGTTGTGTGGACACAGTCCAAATACCAGCCGGGTGGGGTGTTTTCTTCGTCCCGGCCTCGTTTGTGTTGGTCTCCTGGGTGTCTAATGAGCCAGAGCTGGGTGGGGCCGGGGGCCATTCTTGCTGCCTTGCCTCTTGTTGACGGTAACCCACTGCATCCTCTAAAAGGGAACTCAGAATGCTGCGCCCAGCATAGAGGCCTCTGTGGCTCCCCATTGCCCTGGAATAAAGTCCAGGTCCTTGCGGCGGCCTCCGCGGCTGCGGTGCGCTGGCCTTGCCACCTCTCTGGTGCCCTTCCCAGGAGCCACGCTTGCCCAAGGCACATGCGTAGCGCCCTCTGCCGGGAGTGCAGATATTCGTGCCGTGTCCCCATCTCTGCCACCCCCTGCTGCCGTCCCTCACTCTGCTCCCCTCACCCGCCTCCTAGGTGTTGTACTTCTCAGTGCATTTTCCTGTCCCCGTCCTGGACCAGGAGCTGGGAGCATGCAGCAGTGTCCTCGCCGTCCTGATCCTTAATGGTGCCCAGCCACGGTGCCCAGTGCTGGGCATGTAGGGGGACTTATAATACTTGTCGATCAGCCCTGGCCGGTTTGGCTCAGCGGTTAGAGCGTCGGCCTGCGGTCCGGAGAGACCCGGGTTCGGTTCCCGCTAAGGGCATGTACCTCGGTTGCAGTTTGTCCCCGGCCCTGGTTGGTCGTGCGGGTGGCAGCCACTCAATGTGTCCCTTCACGTTGATGTTTCTCTCTCTCTCTCTTCCTCTCTCTCCCTCCCACTCTATCTGTACAAAAAATGGAAAAATATCCTCGGGTGAGGATAAAAAAAAAAATACTTGTCGATCACAGGAGTGCTAAGGAATTTACATAAAAAGACCTTCCAAGCTGAAGAGAAGGGGTCTGAGGCCGTGGGGTGTCTTCATGGGAGAATGCACGGGAGGGACATGGGCACCCTGGTCCCAGGC